CTACTAGAATTTCTTGATAACAATTTATAAATAAATTATATTTATATACAAATATACAAATACATTTATATATATTTATATATATTTATATATATTTTTATATTTTATATTTATATATTTTTATATATTTATATATTTATATATTTTTATATATTTATATATTTTTATATATTTATATATTTTTATATATTTATATATAATTAAATATTTATTTTTAAAATTACTTAATTTTATAAATTATTATAAATTAATCTAATTATGATTAAATTAAATTATTAAATAAAAAATATTTTATTTTTTAATTAGTGAATAATTAAATTATATTATATAATTTTACCGACGGATATATCCGTCGATAAATAATTTTTAATTTACATATGAATTTACCGACGGATATATCCGTCGGTAATTAATTGTTAATTTATCGACGGATTTACCGACGGATATATCCGTCGGTAAATTCATCTATAAATTACCGACGGATTTATCGACGGATATATCCGTCGGTAACTAATTATTATTTTACCGATGGATATATCCGTCGGTAACATCAAATTTCACAAATATTTTATATCCATCAGTAATTTCCGTCGGTAATGATTATTTTCCGACGGCTACAAATCCGTCGGTAAATATCCGTCGGTAATACGTGATTTTCTTGTAGTGATTGGATCATTCAGGATTTTCTATAATGCGCTAATAATCGATTATCATATTACATAATTGATTAATTAACCTTCTTCAGACTCTGATGCATGCGCTGCTAATCGATTATCTACTTATATAATTGATTATTGAAAAAACAAAATTAATTCAATTAAAATCCTTTGCATATCTCACTTTACTAACTCTATCTTCCCACTCTCTCGATCATCCTCAAGTCTCCTCATTCGAAACCCTAACTTCTATTTCATCCATAGTTGGTCTTATCACTCTTCTTCTTCCATCTCTTCACCTTCTTACTCAAATCAAATAGCTTCCACTGCAAAACCCAACAGAATGAAGAGGACTGCTTCTAAGAGACCACCTAGACCCGCTTTTGTAAAAGGTTGGGTTAGTGATGATGAACAAAGATAAAATTTTCTCATTCACTGGAAGGAAAGTAGATTGATTACCCATAAGTATCTCTTTATCTCTTTCTTTAGACAATATGGTTTTTTATTTCAAGATTTACTAGTATATCAAAGACTAGAGAAGTTTATTGAGATGAATGGGGTATTCTACCCTGATTTGGTCAAGGTTTTCTACTGCAACTTAAGAACCATAAATGGAGTCATTCATTCTAAAGTTAAAAGGATTGATATAGTCTTAGATGAATAAATCTGGATAAATATTGTTGGTTTTACAATAGGAGGTGAAAATGTGAATAGTGGATTTGAGAATTTTAATAAGTTAGTTGTGTTTAGATCCTGCCTAAGGAATCCAAATATTGTCAGGAATTACTCCATTTATAAAATTGGTGGTATGAAGAAGGATGAAAGAATGTTAGCTTTTGAGATAACTTGGATTCTTGTTGCAAGGAGGAGTAATCATGCTCAGCTAACCTCTGAGGATATGTACATCATACATACTCTCAAATCTAGATTTTAAATTGACTGGCCCGCAATTGTCAGTGATAACATGCGAAAATCTTATAGACTTCCTCTTTCTCTATTACCTTACTTTGTGTTTTTGTCCAAAGTGTTTGAAATTGTTGGTGTTAATGTGGATGGATAATCTTTCACCATCATGAGCCATGCCAATGTCATAAGAAAATATGTTCTTCACCATATGGGATTGGTTAAGAGAGATGATGGATAGTTCTTCAAAGATGAAGAAGAATTTGTTGATGAAATTGTAGAACCTATTAATGCTTATATTCCTGCCTCCTCTACTAGGAGTAATTTTTCTACCTTTGAACAAATTATTCTAGAAAAGTTGGATAAAATTCATTTATGGCACTAGGACAAACATGAATACTATTGTTCCATATTTGATGCGTTGGATGATCAAGTTTCTTCCATTATAATGTTACACTATGAACAAGATGGTACTAAAATGGAAAATGATGAAAATGGTGGTGAGGAAACTGTTCAACTATCCTTCAACAATGATGAATAACGCTTTCTTTTTAATCATATGTTTAAATTTGTATGAACAATTTCGTTGTTGCATTGTAATATTTAACTTATACATTTTCTGGTTTGTAACTAACTATTGTTTAAACTCTCTTTATTTGATATTATATTTCCTTTTATGCTATTACTCTTTCAACTGCATAGTTTAACTCTTTTTTTATTAAGTCCAAAGGGGGAGAAGAATATTAATTGCTCATACTGATTGCTGATATTGTTATTTGGCTATACTAGATAAAGGAGAATTTATGTTCTACTTTGGTGGTTGGCCATCATAAAGAAAGGGGGAGATTGTTGATAAAGAAGAAAGGGTATTTACTTTTTGATGATGTTTATGATATATAAGTAGTTAGTGTGAGTAGTTTGTATAGAGTCAAATAATCTAAACTTTGAAGGTAAAAATAATCAAATATATTAAAATTGAAACTATATTAATCGATTAGATAAATACTTAATTGATTATATGACTTAAAATCAAGTTTTCATAACACGCGCTAATAATCGATTATGTGGTCACTTATCGATTATTTGTCTACATCTTAGTTTTAACACAACGCACTAATAATCGATTTATATGACTATTTTCAGACTATCACTGCAATTAAATAATCGATTAGATAAGTCTGCTAATCGATTATATGAGACAGTTACAACATTTTTCTTTCTATCAAAAGATGCAAACTTTCTTCTATCAAATATATCTTTAAGAAATAGTAAAAAGCAATTAGTTAGAATGTGTGGGCATCAAGAAAAAAAAAGTGTAATTCTAGAAAATGCTTTGAAGATCAAATTCAAACAAATGTTGTTTGGATATAGGGTGCATTGTTCTGTGAATCTAAGGTGAATTCGTTTCATATCATTTTTTGTGAATCTTGTATTGAATTTTGATGTATGTGAGGCTAGCTACATCAGTTTAGCTTGAAAATTGTGAGGAGAAACATTTTCAAGTATTGTGATCTTGATAAAAGGTTGTTGTAAATCAAGATCTTTAGATTAGGTTGTAATCTAGTTTAAAGTAAAAAAAAAACTCAAGGCTAAAGTTGCTTGGTTAAAACTGGATGTAGATTCAAGAAGAATCGAACCAGTATAAAAATTTATGAATTTTTTTCTTCTTCTCCCTATCTTAATATTGTTGTTTTCTAAAAACGGTTATAATTCTTCTATAGTTGATTATCAGTAAAAGTTCTCTCATAATTGATTAGATTCGAAAAGATTTTGAATACCCAATTCACCCCCCCCCCCTCTTGGGAATGTTTTGTCATTAACATTTTAATAATAATTTTTTTTTAATGTAAATAATGAGGAACATGTAAAAAAAAATAGTATGGGTCAAATATTAGGTTTGAAGTTTTCCAAAACAATCTTGTATTTATCTCACTAATATAAAAATAACATTTTATGATGACTTATTACCCGATCATTGATTCTGGGGGCCAAATAATATATTATTAAAAAAATAATAAATAAATATAAAAGGGTGAAAGAAAATAAAAGGGTGAGAGGATAAAATTGTAAATGTATAAATAAATATATTAAATAATCATTAAATTTGGGGGGACAAAATCATAAATTATATGAGAGTTGCAAAACTGAGGAAAAGCTGAGAGGATAAATTTATAAATATACAAGTAAATATATTAAAGTTTGGAGGGTCAAAATCATAAATTATATGAGTTACAAAATTTTGAGGGGCCACGACCCCCTCGGTTCCGAAGAAGATCTCGCTACTACTTATTACGATGATTTTAATTCATTCATCATACTAAATTGGGAGGTGACAATTTTATAATTAAAAATTATTTTTATGATAATTCAAATTTGAACGAACATAATAAATACATTTTATGTCGTCATAGTAAGTGATTTTGTAAATTGTAAACTTGGGTATTTTTTATGTTGGTTCAATTTTGAACTGACATAGAAAGTAATTTTATAAATTTTAAATGAGTCACTTTCTATACCAGTTAAAATTTGAACCATCATAATAAGTACTTATTATGACAATTCAAAATTGAATCGACATAAAATATATTTACTATAATGGTTCAAAATTGAATCATCATACAGAGTGTGTAGATTTAAATTTTCCATATTCATTTTATTTTCTTCATTTTTCTCATTTTTCATTTTTTTCCCTTTCACATGAAAGGATTCCACTCAACTTCTTCTTTCTTTTGTTATATTGTCTCCTCATCATATTTATTTACTTTTGTTTTTCTCATACTTTCATCACCACTTCCTACAATCTTGTTTCTTCCTCATTTATAACAAAGATAATATATGGAAGCATTGTCTCATTTTTCTATATTAGTTTGTCTTTTATGATTTGGTTTAATGAAATGTTCTAATATATGTTAGATTGTAATTGTTATTATGAATTTTTCTTTTGTGAATGATTTTTCATCCAATTTAAGTGAAATTATCTATATTTTATATTTAATTATTTTTCGTATGTAAATAATACTTAAGTTTAATTTTCGTTGTTGCATTGAGACTGTTTAATAAAACGTTTGTAAGAAATATGACTATTTTAAAAAAAATTAACATAAGATTTTCTATGATGATTATGTTTAGAACTGATATGATAAGTACTTACTATGTTGATTATTTAATAACCGACATAAAAAATTATACTTTTTATGTCATCTAAATCTATGTTAATCGTAGAATCGACATAGAAAATCTAAATAACTATCATAAAAAATCTTTACTCACACTCTTCAATAATTAAGCATTTTCTATTACAGGTTTGAAAAAACGAAGCTCATGCTAATTATCTATAAATCTTCCAAAATTTACCTCTTTTAAGTTTAGATGCAACATAAAGGGGACACAAGGTTTGGATTTGAAAGATGCTCAAAACTAAGTCAGTTCTGGTGATCAAAGATGGCCAAGATAAGAATCAATAAAAATTCACTTCAAGTTGAAGTTAAGGAGGTTTACGCTGAGAGGTTAATGGAAATCGATAATCTTGGCTATGATGACGACCTCACTACAGTGGCAACTTTAACTGTAACAGTGACATTGGTTATAGTACAACTTTGATGACAAAGAAGAGATTCAAACATGAGAGTAAACACAAGAAAGAGTGAGTGGAATCTCTGTAGGGCCGAAATTTAAAGAAATTAAAGAGAAGATATTCTCATTTAAGAAAAGTGTTATCTCTATAGTTATAGGATTTTTATAATTAGGTTGCAAGAACAATTTTATATAAAGTGAACACTGCATGCAATGTCATTTCATACTTGATAATTTATGCCTTTGATATGTCACTACAACAAAAACATCAAATAGTGACCGAATTTTTGGTCATTAAATGACCAAAATCGGTCACTAACTAAAATAGTGACCGAAATAGTAACCAACTCAAATCGGTCACTCTTTCCTTAGTCGTTGATTTCAGTGACCGAATCAGTGACCAATTCAGTGACTGAATCAATGACCGATTCAGTGACCGATTCAGTGACCGAATCAGTGACCGATTCAGTGACCGAATCAGTGACTGATTCAGTGACCGATTCAGTGACTGAATTAGTGACTGAATTAGTGACCGATTCAGTGACCGATTTTGTGACCGATCGAATCAGTCACTATATCGGTCACAAATTTTATTTATTTATTTTTATTTTTAAAATAACGATAATCCTGATTAAGGAATATGAAATATATTATATATTAAATATATCAAAATTACACTTCTTGAGATAACCATCAAAATAATACCACAAATTTTGTTCTACATAAATTCATCATTGATAGATTAAATATTTTCTTACATATTAAAAATTCAATCTAAAAATAAGTAGAATAAACTAAAGTAAGAGTCAATTCTAGAGATGTCAGAAACTAACAAAACAAATACAATATATAATTCTAGAGATGTCAGAAATTAACAAAATAAATACAGTATATAGAATAGAAGTATCAGTTCAAAATTCAGGAAGTTGAACATCCATCTTCTCCATCAAGAGGAGCAACATTTTATCATTTTTCTGAATTTGTCTCTCATTCGTTAACATTCTTCCACGGAGATCATCCCTTTCAGTCTCAACTTCCTGTAACTTGTGTTTTAACTGTTCAATCTCCTCTCTCATAAGTTGGACAAATGATGAATTAGAGTCTTGACAAAGATTTCTCCCAATTGCATTGCTTGACTCAGATCTAAGCCCATATACTTTGCCTTTGTTTATTTCAGCAACTTTACACCAAACCTGTAATTCATCAGGCGGAGAGCCTCCTGCAATAGATCCTGATTGGGAGGCTTCTTCCCATGCACGACTAAACTCTTGCTATAAACATTAAAATAGAATAGTAGTTAATTGGATAAAAACAAAAAAAAAGTATACAATTGTTTAAGAAATTAACATATAAAGAACAATAAGGAACTTACATCCACATGTGCTGATCTTTGATCCACCCATGTGTTATCCTTTCATTGGTGTGTTTTGCGAAACAACCCTGATGGTGTAGGGGGTTTTTCATTTAACTTTGTCTAAAATATGATTAAGAGCATAAACTTAGAAGTGCAATACCCACCATAAAAGAAAAGAAGTTTGTCAAGTCATGACTATATGTAATGAAATAACTATTTTTCTCTTACAGCATAAACAACATCATGCAATCAAATTTGAACTAACTAATGTTTCTTTCCATACTTAAATGTAGTCCAACTGTATAATTCACATAAACCAAACTCAAAATGGTACTGTGAACACAATAGTCAGTGAAGATGTAAAAAATGTGCCAACACAAGGATTAATGCAGGGTGGCAATAGGGTCTCTAAAGAAAACAATCATGGTTCTAACTCAACAGTCCTTGTTGAAATAGAAAAGGGAGATGTAGCTGCAGGTGAATCTTCTAATCTAGAGGGTGATGAATTAGAAAAGACAACAAAATTTGTGGCATCAAATGAAACACACAACACTAACACTGAAATGAGTGAAACAAAAGATACTCAGAATATTTCTTATGTGAAGGAGAAGACTGATGCTACGAAGATTGGATTCAAGGGTGATACACAAACAGATGAAACATCAGACTCATCCTCTGGCATAGGACCAATACATGCATAAGCCAGTATAAAGCAAAGTTTACCAAATTTTTTCTATGTTGAGAAGTGCTAATGGAGCCAGCAATATGGAGTGACATTCCAAGTCCACCACAATCAGAAGCTCGATTTGCTTTTGCAGTCAAACTTTTTACTTTGAATTGTGTTGATCCCCAATGTTGGCATAAGATATCCCATACATCTTCCGCAAGCCAATTTGGCTTCTTCATTATCATGTGTGCCTTGTTTAGTGAACTTTTCAATATGTTGGCACCTCCTATTTCAAAGTTCCTCCTAGCCAACCTACGATCAAGTGGGAAAATAATATATTTTCTGTGTACCCAAACAAAACAAGTAAATGTTATAGTACATTCAATAATTAGAACTTATTTTAAAGTTAAGAACTAATATAAATACATACCATGAACTCACTAAACCACATGTCTCGAATAGCTTCAGGTACCTTTTTCCATGATGGTCATGCACCAGTGTAATGGCTTTTGAAAATATCACCAATGACATTAGCTGCAAAGTATGAAAGGAAAAAATCTACAACACAAATAAAGTCATAAAGTACAAGTTTTATAGAATGTGAACAAAATATAACATTGTTAAAATTTAAGTGATTTACCCATATCCATCAAGTGTTAAAATGGGTTTATCACAAGTGCTCTGAACATCTGAGACATTGTGATCATCATGAGAAACAAATGTGCCTTCAGTTTGAGGGTTAGATGCTTGAAGACTTTGTGGGGAAGGTGTCTCATGTGGCTATTGTGCTCCTAATGATGGAGAAGTTAATAGAAGAGATTTAGAACTTCCTCCAAGTGGTGGAGTACGACCATCAGTAGACTTATTTTGTACTGAAGGGGTAGAACTAACATGTTCTGCAATAGTTCCAACTAATGGATGTCCAACTTGTGGTCCAACTATGCTATTTCTTGGTAGTTGATTGAATTGATGCTTCATCAAACGACTTTTTAAAATAAGCTTGGTTTTCCTTTTGTCTGACATCTACAAATATAACAAAAGACAACAAAAGTGTGTAAGCAAATTGCATATATTTAAGAAGTAATAGTAATGAATTAAACAATAACATATTTACTGAAATGTTTGAAACAACAAAAAAATAATTTGATGGGAACATTATTAAGTGTGCTTATAATTATTAAATACTCACCATTTATGAAAATACAAAAATCATTCATCATCGTCATCATTATCATTATAATCATCATCATCATCATCATCGACATGAACATCACTTTCTTCATCAAATTTATGAGTCATTAGCATTTTGATCATCATCATCAGAGTTGTAATCATCATCAAATTCACTTTCCTCATCATACTCTTTTTCATTGATTTCTGCATCTTCCACATTATATTCATTATGTTCATTTCCATCAAGTAATTCATTCTCTACTAGCTCTTCATGTTCACCTTCATCGTCTCTTAATTGACCAAGTACATCATCATTTGACACAAGTTGAGTATTAGAAAGACCATGTTGATAGGCAACCCCTAGTGTATATTGATCATCAACCATACTTCTTGGTTTGGTTTTAATTACAACCCACCAATCTACCTTTTCCTTAACCTTTTCAGGATAAGGCATATAATATACTTGAATTGCATTTGACGCAAGTATGAAAGGATCATAATTGAAATACCTTCTACGATGATGAACCTCCACTATACCATATTCCTTGTGAACTCGTACAACACGATTCCTTTTAGAATTAAACCATTGGCAATTGAATAAAACTAATTCTTTTGTTGGCTCTCCTATGTATTCAAGTTGCATAATCTCTTTGATGATACCATAATAATAGTTTTCTTCATTTTCAATATCATCCCCTTTAACACAAACTCCATAATTGACAGTTTTCTTTCCAATGCTCCATTCTTCCGTATGAAACTTGAAACCATTGACAAAATAAATAGGCCATGTAAAAACCTTTTTTCGTGGACCCCATGCTAAGTCATGTAAAAATTGACTTTGAACCATATTGTTCCTATCGTGAACCTAAACAAATGATAAACATAGTATGAATGAATAGTTTAATGTGAGAACATAAATTATTCTTGTCATTGATTTACAAAATATTTTTAAAACTTACATATGTTTGAAACCATCTAGGAAAATTGGAAGCAATCTGAGCCTCAATTTCTCTTTGAGTGATGTTTGGATTCACTGCTTCTAGAAATTGTTCAAATATTCTAACATTTACACATAACATTGTGTTAGCGGTTTTATGCATGAAAAATGCATGCCAAAATGAATTTTGGTTCTTACTTGATTAATGGTTGAACTTCTTCACAATTAAGTAACACATGCAAATGTGCAACTTCTAATTCTTTCTTATTTAAGTATCGACATGAAGATCTTCCACTAAAGCGACCTGGATGATTAAAAATTGTTGATACACAATCTAGTTCTACATGTTCACCTCCATTATCATTGCGGCTGACTTTATTTCTCATTGTTTGCACATGAGTCTCAAAATAATATGAACAAAAATGAGAAGTCTCTTGCTCTAGATATGCCTCACATATTGAACCTTCCACATGTGCCTTGTTCTTAACCATTTTTTTAACTTATTCAAGTACCTAATACAAGACCATCATATGGTTATTATAATTTCAAATAAGACAAATATGCATGTTCAAATTTAATAATTAAAAAGTAGTACCTCTCAAATGGATACATCTACCGATATTGAACAGGACCTCCTACTCTTGCTTCGTAAGGCAAATGAATAGGTAAGTGTTCCATTGAATTGAAGAATGAAGGTGGAAAGAATCATTACAATTTACATAATGTAATTGCAATGTTTTATTTCATTAATAACAAATCATCCACTCGCAAAATAGTTGAACATAGATCTTTGAAGAATTTACTTAACTCAGCAATTGGTTTCCAAATTTGATTTGATAGTGCACTAAAAGCAATAGGCATTAATTGCTCCATAAATATATGACAATCATGACTTTTCATTCCAATCATTTTTCCTTGCTCTATGTTTACACATCTTTGCAAATTTGAGGCATAACCATCAGGCATTCTCAACTCATTAATCCATTTATAGACAACACTTTTTTTCTCCTTAGATAATACAAATTGTGCTTTAGGCTTTATAACTTTTCCATTAGGTAATTGCTGCAATTCTAACTCCTTTCTCCAATAATACTTTTTTTCATGCCTTCATATCATCTTTAGTCTTATCTTTGATATCCATCACTGTATTAAACACATTATCAAACACATTTTTTCTCAATATGCATGACATCAAGATTATGCCTTAACATGTTGGAATTCCAATATGGTAACTCCCAAAAAATGTTTTGTTTTATCCAATTATGATATACACCACAACCATAACATGTAAATTGTACTTCCTTAGTTACTTTTGGAAAATAAGCAACTTGCTCCCACACATCATCCCCAGAAAATATCAATGGAGGTTGAGAATCTTCAATTCGATTCTTTAAAAATGCATTCTTATTTCTTCGATATGCATGATTCATAGGAAAAAATTGACGATGACAATCAAACCAATAAAACTTACAACCACTATCCAACCAAAAGCTCTTTGAATTATTCATACGATATGGGCAAGCCAATCTTCTAGCTTTACTCCAACCAGACAACATACCATATGCAGGAAAATCATTAACAGTCCACATCAATGTAGCTTTCATCATAAAATTTTGTTTTTTGGAAATGTCATATGTCAACACACCTTCATTCCACAATATTTTTAACTCTTCTATCAAAGGTTGCAAATATACATCTATTTTTTCCTTTGGATTTTTTGGCCCAGGAATAATTAAAGTTAAAAACATATAGGGGGTAGTCATGCACAATTGTGGTGGTAAATTGTAAGGAGTTACAATCACTGGCCAACAAGAATATGGTTTTCCTAATTGACCATATGGGGTGAAACCATCAGAGCATATCTTTATCTTACATTTCTTGGTTCAATTGCAAAATCAGGAAATGTCTTGTCAAAATGTTTCCATGCTTCTCCATCTGATGGATGACACAAATGTCCCTCCTTTCTCTTATTTTCACAATGCCACCTCATATGCAGAGCATAACTCATTGAAACATATAATCTCTTAAGCCTAGGAATGAGGGGTAAATAATGCATTCTCTTCACAGGGACATTTTTATATTTACCTCTACCCACTTTTTTTGTCTTATAACGAGGTTTTTGACAAAACTTACATGTAGATAGTTGTTTATCTTCATCTGAGTAGAACAACATACACCCATCAACACAACAATCAATTTTTTCTACTGATAAACCAAGTTTTGAAACCAATTTTATGGTTCTATAGTAATCTTCTGGGATAAAATTATCTACATGATGTGTCTCTTTCAAAAGAGTCAATGTTTGATTAAAACATCGCTGGGACATGTTTCCCTCTGATTTAATTGTCAACAATCTAACAGCAATAGATAATTCAGTGTGATTAGTACATCCTGGCCACATTGGTTTTTGTGAAGCATGTAATAAATCATAAAACTTATTTGCTTCAATATTTGGAAACTGTTCATTTTCTTCATCAAAATGACTCACAAACTGTGCACCTAAAGCATTATGAATCATGTTGTCAAAGTCTTCTATGAACCTTGTGTGCATTATTAGATGAATTTGGATACATATTATTCACATCACACATATTTGGATCCATTTCTCCATGACATGTCCAATACCAATATGTAGGTGTAAATCCCTGACGATAAAGATGGACTTGAACATCTTCAGAATCTAAAAAATTCTTATTTTTGCATTTACTACATGGACATCTAATTTTTCCATTTGACATGTTTGCATGTTGAAGAGAAAATGACACAAATTCAGTCACGCCATTTAAAAATGCATCAGTATACCCCTTTCGACCAGGTACAAGTCTATTATACATCCAACTACGATTTACACGAACATCCATATTCTGCCATATGCCAATAAATGACTTATTTTAATAACTAATATACCATATAATTATCCACAA